GTACTTTCTATCCTGCTTGTCTTTAGGACAGATTCTTGAGAGGATCCAACATGGGTGCAGTGTGTGAAGCCCATGTCCCTCCATGATATTGCTGGAATATTTAGTGCCACAGCCAGACTGCGTAATTGCGAGATTTCCACTAAATGTACTTACCTTAGAGCTATATTTATAAATGTATTCACCAACAATGGCGCAGATTTATAAGTTGTAACATGTTTTTATATATTGGGTGCATAATTGATTTCCAAATACGACTATTTTCATTGAAAGATATGTCAAACCTTTGGAAATCAACATCAAAATATTGAAACTTCTGGAATTTTAAACGAGGCTTCATAAGCTCTGCACATTGCTAGCATGTTTATTTGCATATGAAACTGTAATATGAATCACTGTAAGGAGCTTGTTTTCCTGAATGGAGCTTGCCTTGATGTACAGAGTTTATTTATAGTATTTATTACTAGAAGCATTTAATGATAACCATGATAGACTCATAGTTTTGTCACTTTTGATTACTGGCCCACATTTCTGAAGGTAGGGGCCAAGTAGCCCCTTCCAAGGAAATCCTGGCTGCAGCACTGGATGTTGCTAACAGCAGCAAAAAATCATACATACTCACTCATTCACTCATGAGAAAGACCGCCTCCGTGGTGAAGTGGTTAGAGCTTCCGCCCGGAGAGCGGAAGGTTGCGGGTTCGAACCCCTACTGCGTCATTCCAAAAGACGTTAAAATATGGTACTTGTTGTTTCCTGCATGGCGTTCGGCATTACTGGGTACAACAAGGACTGGTCAGCTCGGAGTCAGTATAATGTGTCTGAGTGGAGTATTCATGCTTCACTGCGGCATGGTATCTCAGTTGGCTAGCACTATAAAACCAGCCTAAGTCTGGGCAAGTACAAGCAGCCGCACATACACATACACACGCATGCACATCGTCATATTAGCGAAATATTCTCAAGCACGACGTTAAACCCAAATTCACCTCACATGCTTCCATTGTATTGAGATCAACTATTTTTTTAAATCAAGAAACAGAAATATCCACACGTCCTGTACTGGCATAACCTCATATTAATTCATTTCTTTTTTTATCTAATCTGTTTTTAGCGTGAATCTCATTTATAAAGTATTTATATCGGCATTGAAGTCAACGGATGACATTTTATCTACACTAACAAAACAGTAGTATATTTGTTTAATCGATCCACTAAAATACAAGTAATTGGCAGTGTTTTGTAACCTAATGTTTACCACAGTGACAAGTATGAATTGATCCCTTGCTCCGACATGTGATTATAACACGCGGATCAACAGAGGAACACATGGCAATCAGGGGCTCGTCACACCTCATAAACAATAAAACAGCAAGGTAGCTGTTGTACATGTTTGTTAATCACTGTGTTGACATGATGACGGATGTGGTTGGGCAAACATTCCACCATTACGGTTTCCGTGGCAACAGCAGTCAGGAGGTTTGTATAAAAATGATAAAGTAGTTATGGTCAGGCGTCAGAATTAGGATAGAGGTAATATGTGTGGTATCGGAGAAACAATATGTTGGTCTAAATCAGTGGATTGTTTAGGCAGTACTTTGTGGCACTGTGCTAGGATGCTACTGTTATAAGCTTTTGACTGTCCAGATGTGTTCAAGCATAAGTTGTGTTCAGTATTCCAAATTATTACCAACAGCAGAAAGAAGATCAAGCAGATTCACAACTAGTTTTACAAAATGATTAAACTTGAGCAGCAATAAGCAAGATCATAGAATATATATTTACCATGTGATATGAGGCCAGCAGATTTCTATGGAGTTGTGTGTGAATGTAGGTATGTAAGTATATGAATGAGTGTTTGTCCTAATGGGAAAAAATAATCTCCTCTGTACATCCTTTAAACACCCATGGAAACACACTATTACATGTACATCATGCTGTGGAACTCACATTACCTTGGGTGTGAGGTATCCCATATGTAACAGGGAAGGAGGACATAAAATAGAAGAAAAAAAAGATTAAACTTAATTGGATCAGTTCTCATTCTGACATTAAAAAAACCCATTCTTCCCTGGGATTAAAGTGTTGGTGGGGATTAGATTAGTGTTGTCCCAGAAAATGGATATGAGTCTCATATAACTAACTCTGTTAATGGTTTATTATTGTTGGCCCAGACTGCATGGATTGGTGTTCATAATATCAATCACTGGATTGTCAGGTCAATACACAGGCCCCCTTATGTTGACAGGTTTTTTGAACTGCTCCTGAAAAAACAACCCAAAACTTTCATGAAAATGTCAGATATCATAATTTTAAACATGAGAACTATCGTAAAAAGGACATAGTATTTGACCTTATGTTTTATTTGAAACATACAACTTAATGATTGAAAACTTCTTGTTTATTGCACAGAGTGGCGTTAGGATGTAGATTCTTACACTGTTATCAAGCTAAAACCAAATGATGAGAAGTATATATGAGTAGTATGTTTTGACAATCAGCAGTTTGACATTAACAACATGTAATTGAATAACAACTGGTACATTATTGGGAGAGGCCAGATGGGGACTAAGAACAACAAATGGAATGGCGATGAAGCCAATAGACAAGGGGGATTCAGTTGTAACAACAAGCTGATAGGGTGCTTTGATACAGTCTATAGTTTGATTAGTTCTTCATTGGTCTGTCGTTTTAATGTGACTGCAAAATTTGGTTTTGTTGCAATTACTAGTATTAGATTTTGTGTTAGTGAGCAATTCATTGGTCTCAAATGAAATCAAACAGACTATGAGTTGGTGGGTTACTGGTTGAGGCTCGTGAAGACATGTTGTAGGTGGTTCTGCTCATGTTCTAGGTCATGGCTGCTGGAGGAATGTTCTTAGCGTGCTTGATCAGGGTTGAGATGACGCCAAACTTAGTTTTAGGGGGTTGGTTTGACAAATTTGAAATCTTATCCACCAAGAATCAGGACTTCACAAAAAGAAAACTTTTGGAAGCCATCAAAATCAGCCGCCACAAACCTTTGATCAATAGAGATCAAGGATACTACATACCATCGGCCTATGAAGAACTAATCAAACTATAGACTCTATCAAATCACCCTATCAGGTTGTTACAACCTAACACCCCACCCCCCTCCCTTCCTTGTTAATTGGTTTCATCACTAGATCCATTTGTTGTTCTTAGTCCCCAACTGGCGCTCCCAATTATGTTTATTTGACAAAACATACTCTGTACATGTATATATACTTCTCATCATTTGGTTGTAGTCACTTTTAGCTTGATAACGTTGTAAGAATTTACATCGAAGCGATAAGCTCTATACAATAAAGAAAGAAGTTGTCATCCATAGAGTTGTATGTTTCATTTTGGACTCACCAACTTCTAGAATGCTGTTCAAATAATGTGTTATTTGGATATGACATGTAACTACTATAACTGTGACACATATATCTGATATGATGATGTTTAGCAATTATTGGTTGTACAGATGAATAATAGAGAGAATTGTATATGGAAACAGGAGTGTAACTGACAAACACATTATGTTAATAAAGTAAACACAATAAATTTAAATAATTTAAAATGAAATGAGATTTATCAAAGTGGTTAAAACAGGCCACCTAAAGAAAAGAGTCAATTAAATCTTTTTTCTACTCAAGCAATTGCCTTTCAATACAGTATGTGTCAGTTTCTTTAGCCTAAATGATGATTTAAACCAATTATTTCACAATATATTAGCAATTCGCCCCAGTTATATAGCTGGATTAGTGCAGAGGTTGAACAAAATGTTGAACTGCATTTGCCGTTGTTAAACAAGACCACCTACACTAAGGTGACCGTAACTTCCATACCTTAGCATAAACTTAAGGTAGTCTTAGCGCTAAGGTTGTTTTGTACAAGAGCACCCAGGAGGTGACAGAATATAGGTTATGACTTAGGCTACACTGAGATATGCTTATGTAAAGAGTCCTCCATTCTGACTAGTCAAAGTCAAGTTTGTTGACTACAGTGTATTGAGAACATGCCGATGGTGTTGATGTAATGTAACACCCTACATTGTATTGATGTCACGACAGGGAGAACTGGGTCGCCTAAATTGCTGAATCATTGAGTTTGAGCTTATGTTACTCTGGCAGACGTCTTAGTCAGGTTTTTAATCTCATTTATTGAATTAGGTCATAAAGTGGTATTAAAGTTCAGTGTGCTAGCTTGATCCATTTATTTGTTCAGGTGGCCGTCGTACAAAGTGATTTTTGCGCTAAGGTGATCGGAACTCCCATACCTTATGATAGACTTTAAACAGTCACAGCACTAAGGACCCGTGAAGATCCGTGTTAGAATTGATATTCAGTAACCCATGCTTGTTGTAAAAGGCGACTAACGGGATCGGGTAGTCAAGCTTGCTGACTTGGTTCACAGATGGGGCGAAAAACTAAACTCACTCACTCTGTACAATGGCACCCTTGACAAAAAGAGGTTCAGTTTGTCCACTCATCACACTAAAGACCCGGGTTTGATTCCAATGTGTGACCCTTCTGTATACTGAGTCATATTCATTGATTTCTATAAAGGGAAATATTTGTTTGTGAATGTTAAGACAGGGAAGGAAAGTCAGTGTGATACAAGACGCTCATGTTGTAAATGAGAAAATGCGAAAGTGAACTACTGGTGTCTTTATGGATGTGATTGATTGAACATCGATGTTTAGTATTGTGTCATTGAAACCAGATTTAAAATGGAGGGAAGGTGTTAAATAGGTCCTGGTCATTAGTGAGTGAGTTTAGTTTTATGCCACACTCAGCAATATTCCAGCTATATGGTGGCAGTCTGTAAATAATTGAGTCTGGATTAGATAATCCAGTGATCAACAGCATGAGCATCGATCTACACAATTGGGATACAATGTCCTGGGTCAGTAGGATAGAGATATATTACACAGGATAACCAGTGATGAAGGATGTGTTGAGTATGGCATAATGGTAATGTGTGTGTTTATGTTCCAGGCCTGGGAGTACTGCTGGTCATTGTAGTGGGCGTCGGCTGGAAGTGCACCCCCAGGGGACATGAGCCTTTACATGCACTTTTCAATATCGGGGATTTCCGTCGTCGACGAGACCGCCAAACACGAAGAGCGTACAGACAGAGAGACAGCAACTGGTATGGAGGTAAGTATCATGTGATGGAAACGTTCAACTATCCACTACACCGAATGACCCCAGAGGCAGAACAGGTTCTCTGTTTCCATGCTTTTTGTTGGGGGTGACTAACGAAGAGCATGTAGTTGCAGCATGTGACCTCGTTGATGATGTCTTATCATTTGCTGATGGCGTGGGCCGTTGCTCAAGCGGCTGGTGTGCATAGGATACTTATTGCATTTAACAAAACAGATATTAATTTTTTCTGCTGTACAGAGAGACTGAAAACATACTCCCACTTGGTGTAATAATATTTACCCTAAACTAAAACAGGTAGATGGCCTTGTCTAAGGTCTTTACAGGACCAGTGTTCAGACAGACGTCATCATCGACAATGAGATAGACATAACCAGGGATCTTTACACTATCAACTACAGACTTTATTTACCATCAGGTGTGGCGGGGTAGCCTAGTGGTTAAAGCGTCACACCGAAGACCCGGGTTCGATTCTCTACATGGGTATAATGTGTGAAGCCCATTTCTGGTGTCCCCCGCCGTGATATTGTTGGAATATTGCTAAAAGCGGTGTTAAGCCATACTCACTCACTAATTTACCATCACCAGAAAAATATACATAATCAAGGTTTGTCCAGGACTGACACATTTTTTACCATTGGCAGAAAGTTGGAAATGTCCAAAGTCTCCACAAAAAAAGATAAAAATATCTCTCAGGTCTCACTAGACTGACTTCTCAAATTAACAATCATCAAGCTGACTGACATTGTCATAGGTTTCAGTGGACACCACACACAACCTGCTGAATGTAAGGAACGTAATTGTCCAAGAGTCCTGTTTCACAGCATCAGATGCATGTAGGTTTCAGTACTATGACGGTAATTACAACCGAGACACATGATCCTTTTCAGGTGTCCACGAGACAATGACAGTGAATATTCCACTGAGCATACATGAGCAGAGAAAAGTTTTTCTGACTGTTATGTCGAGAGTGTCTGCGAACCATCATCTTTGTTTGCTACAAGCTTAAGTATTTGCTTCCTGGGAGGGTGAACTGTTGAAGGATATAATGATGTCGTGATCGCCGACTCGGGTCTCACGCTGTTGTGTCATCACTGTGTGACCAACGCTTGCTGCAACATTTACTGTTTCCGATGTAAACCTTTCACAGTTTACAGAGCACAAGCATACACTCAGAGGAACTGTTTTCTTGACAACTAATTAGTGTTTGACTATTGATTAAGACCAGATTGAGTTGATTATTGATTTTAAGATTCTCATATCATTCTGTTGATATTATCAAGATGTTCCGTGAGATAAACAATTCATTCTTTTGGCATGTGTTTTCTAAAATAATGTACAAGTTATGATGTTTATTTTGAAGAGGGTGGAAATTTGTAGAACAGAAAATCTGTTTTTGCACACAAAAGATTATCTGGGTGGCTCAGTGGTCTAGGATGCATAATGGTGTGTTGGTTTCATCCTTGACTTGTGCCGGGATCTGCTGGTTGTATGAATCCCAGTTTTGTCTCATGGTCATCATGTATCTGTCAGTGTCAGCCTGCTTGTTAGTTTCATAATGTTTCCATAATGTCTTGGCCTGTCAACACTACCCCTTCATATGGGTTCAGGCAGTGGAGTAACCTAGTGGTTAAAGGTTTTGCTTGTCACACCGAAGACCTGTGTTTGATTCCCCACATGGTAGCCCATTTCTGGTGTCCCCCGCCGTGGTATTACTGGACTATTGCTTAAAACGGCTTAAAATCAAACTCGCTCACTTCATATGGGTTCTCTCATATTGATGACTTACCATGATATAACTGAACCATTTTTAAGTGATATTAAACTCAGCTCACTCACTCACAGAAGACAGAAAGGCATGATGTAGTATTAAGTTCAAGTTACATATCTGCTTGTTAAATCTTGATGAGATGGGTATACATGTAGTTTAGCTGCTTGTTTGACCTTAGCTGGATGTCCTGCTTAAAAGCTTTCAAGGGCACTCAGAGATATGAGTGAATGAGTGATCTTCTATGTCCATAAACCCACACTTTAACTCCTACAGTGGTATTGTTCTGTGTCGTTGTGTGATAGGCACTACAGACCTCCATCAGGAAAAGATGACAAGAGGAGACATCTGTGAGTGAACTCATTGTGATGGAAGTACTAGGTCATGCATCCACCATGAATTGTCGGAGTTTGATTGTTTCTAACATTTGCAATTAAACATCAAGCTATCAGTATGGTTTTACACTGCTTTTAGCAATATTCCAGCAATATCATGGTGGGGGACACCAGAAATGGGCTTCACACATTGTGGGGAATTGAACCAGGGTCTTCGGTGTGAGACCCGTGAAGGTCCAGGTTAAAATATTGTTGTAAGAGGCGACTAATAGGATCGAGTGGTCAGGCTCGCTGACTTGGTTGACACATGTCATCAGTTCCCAATTGCGCAGATCGATTCTCATGCTGTTGATCACTGGATTGTCTGGTCCAGACTCGATTATTTACAGACCGCTGCCATATAGCTGGAATATTGCTGAGTGCAGCGTAAAACTAAACTCACTCACTCTTCAGTGTTCATTAAGCTACGCCACCGTCCGTCAAGCCCTATTTTCGAAGCTCTCTTAGAGCTAAGATAGTCGTAAGTGCCATACATTAACATTAACTTACGACTATCTTAGCGCTAAGAGAGCTTCGAAAATCTAGGCCCAGGACCTCAGCATCCCAGATCTCTACTGTTCCAAGGACATGCACACACATCGTAAACAAGTTTGATCTTACCAAGGCTTATTCATATTATTGATTTTGGAAGAATGTATTGACCCAATTATAATCTTAATGATAACATATGCAGCACTGTGTTGACTTACTTTGATCAATGTTGTGTTATATTATGAAAAACGAATGAGGTATCACACTTGGTTCTAACAATCACTAAACTGAGGACATTTGGTGAAAGTAAAACAAGCCAGCAAAAATTAACAGGGAAAATCACAAGCTGTGCATGTAACCCAGTTTATACAAGTTGCTTGCAACATATTGTCAGAATTGTTTTTGCCATGCAAGCAATATGGCAATTGTGACAGTTGCTACCAAGATTGAAACAGTTTTTGACATATCTGTTGAAGGCAAGATACATGCAGTAGGCCCACCCGTCTAAGATTCAGTTTTACATGTCTTAGGTAATACATGTTACAGAAAATTTGGAAAAATACAAGCTGCATGTTGGCTTTCCTAAAATTATTCTATTTCTTTTTATTTGCATTGTTAACTGTTGTTAATCCTACTTTCATCTTGGTTTTTCGGAACCATACCAAACCATGCCCATGAGTTTCACTATGGGTTTTAGCCCTCATTGACCTTCAATTTGTAGATCCTTGGCATATCCATTGGTTTCACTATAGACTGTCCCCCTACATTGATCTGCTCTGTCTGGATTTGCCTTATACACTATTCTAGGCAGCAGTAGATCCCAATAGTTTACTGTGGCTCTCATAATATTTTCCTTCTTCCAGGTGTGATGTACCCAGAATTCCAGTACCGTCGTCCACCACCGTCGTATGCTGCGTCAATGCAGGAGTACCAACAGCAGCTGTTGTTAGCACAACAGCAATACTTGCAGCAGACTGGCAGTAATGGCGAAAGTCTTCCAAACTCCCCTCCACCCTCGTACAGATCCCCGTACAAGCACTATACACTCAGGAATCCATATTGCCTTCCCGCCAGACTCTGATCAGCCCAACTCGCGGCCACCGACATACAGATCAACTGCGAGTACCATGGGCCGTAGGGGCCCTGTTCGCCCACCATTACCCAGAGACCCCAGTTATGACAATGACAGGGGAGACAATTTACCCGGTGGTGATGTTTCGTTCGCTGGTCCCGATGTCAGTCCGACTGGTGTAGGGTCAGAGGTCGGTCAGTCGTCGGAACCAAACAGTGCTAGCATAGATAGGACTCCATCTGATGACTCTATACTGAGCGCGCGTCATCACCATCAGACTTGGTTACAGGGAGGTCATCAAATGTAGCAAGTCCTGAAACTCCCAGTAGTGCTGCTAGTCTGGCGTCTGCTCACAATCAAACCACAGTAACAAACCCAGAACAATCGTCTGTGATTCAAGGTCAGAGCTCATCAGTGAGTGGAGGAACAAATGGGTCAAATACGAACAATTCGGACGAGTCTTCCAGCCACGGTCAACCAAAAGATGACGCGCTTGACCAAGAACTACAGCAGACTCTTGAGACCTTTGATGAGATTACCTCCGGTGCTGTGTCGGACAATGTATCCAAGTCGATGGAGGAAACCACTTCATCGGAAGAACCAGAAAGATTTCAAACAGCTTTGTGAATCATGAGCTGTTCAGAATCTGGTTTTCTTGATATGTATAGGAAGGTGGATACATTTAGCAAGTCTATACCCAACATTCCCGTGTGTCTTGATTGTGTTCATATTGTGTCAGCGCTGAAGGATGAATGAAAACTGTATTATTATTATTATTATTCCACAAGTCATTTGTGTTGTATGCATTCAAGATGAAATACATATGATCAACTTTGACTCCTTTACCCCAAGGTCAACATTTTTTTTTAAGTGTGTGTGTGTTTCATTTAAATGATCGTCATTGTCACATGTACTTTTAGCATGTGGTCATGTCTTTGATTTCTTTGAAATATTTTGTGTACAAATGGTACGTTATTTTAGATAATGTTTTGTTTGAAGACTTTACCTTCTGTGTCTTTTTATTTTAGCTTGCCTTTTCTGTTCTCTTAAGTAAAACATGTTAGAATTAGGGCTTTTATATACACAGCATCTGATAAATGTAATTAAGATATCTTATGTTCAAGAATGGTTGAGAGCGATATATGAGACAGGTTTTAACAAATTATTTAAGTGTTTTTGTTAAAAAAATGTTTTATTGTTTCACTCTCTGTTAAAGTTTTTAGATTTGTTAAAAGTTTTTAAAAGTTTCATTAAAGCAACAGTTTTATTTCTTATAGACATTCAAAATACTACAACTTTCCTAAACATTTTAGCCAAAGTTTTATTATCTTATTGTAGTAGTCATGGTAATTTGATGGCAATATTTCACAAAGGGATTTAGATTTTATCAAACATATGATACCCAGCACATTGGAACAAGTGAAACTTGGTAGCTATATCTGATTTTGTTTTTACCTCAGAATTGTATTGTCAGTCGCCTTCTGATAGACAATGGGATGTTTTTAATGAATTTTACATTATCTGTAAACTACGTACTAATTTGACTCAGCAATATATAGATACCTTACTTACAATGGGATTAATAACAGCTGCAATATTCACTTCACTATGACTGATACTTTAACACCATGGGGTTGGGTAGCCTAGTGGTTAAAGCGTTCGCTGGTCATGCCAAAGGTCCAGGTTCGATTTCCCACATGGGTAAAATGTGTGAAGCCCATTTCTGGTGTCCCCCGCCATCATGTTGCTGGAATATTGCTAATAGCGGCGTAAAACAAAACTCACTCACTTTAACACCATGCATCCACTTGACATCATGAAATGATGCATGTGGTCATTGATGCACTGAAATATGCACACCCACCTGGCACCAGGTTGAGCATGGAAGGAGCTGTCAGCTGGAATATGTACCATACGTGTCAATTCGATGTTATAAGTATAATGTCTCCCACGAAGGCCAAACCCTGACATTTGAGGGCTGGTAGTGTTGCAGTTGTGATGGAATATGAATGTGGGAGTCAGAAGAAGGATGAATAATGCAGGGAGTATTCTGGCAATATAATAATCTGTGTGACTCTTGCTGTCTGATTGTCACTTGTTCTTGTTTCTGGTTCATCTCCAGGGATTGGCTCGTATTCAAATTATGCAATTTGCCTTCTAAAACCTATGAATATTGTCCAGGCTTGAACTAGTAGTGGGCAGCCAGATTCTCATGAATTGCAGAACATGTTTTTAAGGGCTAACCGTTTTGATGTGTCAGTTTTATGCTTTGAGTTCACTTTTAATTGTTTTGCTGTTGCTTTTTCCCAAGAAATATGGTAATTAGGTAGGGATATATGATAGACCCTTGCTTGATCCCACTGAAGTTCATTTGCAATTTTAGTTTTTAGGAAACTTTTGTTTCTAAATCCAACGACATTACTATTCTGTAGAGATTCTGTTATTATGTATATTCTGATTCTTTGTGTATCTTTTCTACAAAGCCTGCCTTCTGATCTACACCAGTGGTGTCTGTTTGGTAAACATAATATCCAGAAGTTATAGCGTCAGCCTTTACCTTCAAGTCTTGTATGATTTCTCCCGAGTGCCTTGGACAATTTGCTGATTGCTATATCCTCTTCCTTGATTGGACTGGTAATGTCAGGCAGACAATGTTAAATGATCGTATTATACGTGCCTTACAAGTATACAAGGATATGTATTGATTGGCAATGTTAACAGGTCTTGAATCGAAAATTTTGAAAAGATCATATGAAAAACTCATAAACCAAACAGATTTATTGTTAAATGTTCAAAATACTGACAGATATGTAGGTATCTGCATACAGAACAGTTTTCCAAGTTAACATATAAGTGAAGTAAGCTCACCTCAGATTAAAGGTCATTTTGGCTTTCATTCAAATAATTACCGATGTTTCATTTGGGTGGTTCAAATGCTATGTTACATCCTTATGCACAGTTTCTTTTTAAGAATATTTTGGTTATAATTTTTTATTACATTGAAGCCAGTATGGTCAAGTCATATCAATATAATTAATGTATAACGATTTCAGTATTTTTAAATTTCTCGTGTACTGAATTCAGTCCCATTAATATACCAGGATATCGGCCTGTCAATCTGTGGTTATTGTGAGCTGACATGTTCATGTGTTCATATGAATGCACCACATCTGTGCCTACTCTGTATTGATATGCATCGTTGGCTTGTTCACGTGAATAGAGTGGGGACAGCATTATGGTTATGTCTTTAGCACCAGCTGCTTACTTCCTCATATTGAATCATATTGAATATTCTCTTGTTAAGAAACATCAGTTCAGTCTGTTACATTTACTTTTCATTATTTTCACACATTTGTATGTTTCTGTGAATGAACAACATTGTGTGTGCTTGTTTAACACATGTAATATTTTTCTCATATCGTCAATTGCTTGCAAGTGTTCTGCAGGTCAGTGGTTGCGTAGTACAATATTTTGTTGATTATTATTCTGAAACATTGGTGACTCAAAGCAGTTTCAAAACATGTGATCTTGTTTCATCATTTTAAGGGGTAGCTTAGTGGATAAAGTGTTTGCTCGTCAAGCCGAAGACCCGGGTTCGATTCCACACATGGGTATAATGTGCGAAGCCCATTTCTGGTGTCCCTGCCGTGATGTTGCTGGAATATTGCTCATCATTCAAAGGTTCACTCATCATTTGAAACTGAACAGTGGGGATAAAGTTGACTGAATTTAAGATCATATTTTCTGTAGTTTCATTTTCAGACATCTAAGGTCATGCTCTTAATAAAATCTCAAAGGAATCCACTGAAAAACAATCAATTGTAAAATGACTTTTGTCTATAATATTTTAGTGATGAATGTGTGAAAATAAATTGCTAAGTATTGCCTGTTCTGCTGAACTGTTCCAAGTTTTAAAGAATTAGTCACCTTAACATCGTACATTCATCATAATCGTAAAAAGAATTGTCAAAGCATATGATTTAACAGCATGAAACATTGATGGATATCTCCTGTATTGTTTTTAATGTCAGGGCCACTTTTTACATCTTCATAATGTGACTCGTTCAGTCAAGTCATTCAAATTAACACAGAAATTGTTATTGTCAAAATATCATGTCTTTAAAGTTCTTGAAAGACATTTAGAAGTTGGATGAACATGAATACATGTTTTTATGGATAGCAACAAAGTAAGTGAGTGTGGCTTAAAGTATAAAGAATTAAATGAAGTTGTTATCCATATAAATGTCATATATTCATCATGTCTCTATGTAAATATTCTGTGACACATTCTTGATGAATATGATTAGAGTGTGATGTGAAGTTGACTGATTCACTGAAACTCACAATTGTTGATATCAATAAAAGTTTCTTGTTTCATAGTCTTCACATAAATATTTTCCTCAAATTATTTCTTTCAAGTTGTATTGCTATTTCCAAGATCTGTTGTCCCATCTGTTTATTCAGACCTTCATGCATACTATCACATAGTTTATTTGATATTTGTTTGATTTTCTTTGAATTCTTTCAACAGAATATTCTATATTCATGTACTGAGGCTTTGATCTGTGCTGTACAACCTTTTGTATATCCAACCTTTAGGTTATTGAACTGTGCGCTACAGAAGACATTTCACAGAACGGAATTTCATGACAGCTGGTTAAGACATATCCTTAACCCATTTAAATATATAGACGTGCAATAATAGTAATAATATTTGCAGGTTCTCAAAGAAAAGCTCATTCCGTTTATTGAAATATTTTTATGATGCTTCAGTATTTTAAATTATTATTAAATTTTATGTACTGATTGTATTTATATATCTACTTTAGTTTTCATAACACAAGTTACATGGCAATTTCTGTTAGCTATAAATGGTTATAATATTGGATGTGTTTTATAAAACTATAAAAGATTTTCTAAGAATCCTGAAATAAGTGGCATTAGGCAGAAAGTGCAAATTATTCAAATTTAAAAGGTTGAGAGTGTCATTGAGAACTTTCATGTTGGTGCCAATGAAAAATTACCATTTTTGTCTTCGATAGTGTGAAATAACTTATCTGAAGTATTGCTGTTTTGTCTGATGAGTACAAAATGCTAGTGTATAAAAAAAATAACAAGCCTACAGACATCAGTGTGAGAGTGTGAATGTATGTTTTTCGGGGGAGAGTATTACGTTGAGCGCTGGTGTTGCATAAGCATTCCAAGGGGATCATTACAGGCAATGCTGCGGTCATATATAATGAACGATATGAGTCTGAAACCCTTTTTTAAATATTTTACCATTTTGTGCCACGGAAGTTGTTTGTGTGGTGTCAGGTATTCCACATTCCATGATTTATTTATGTGAAATGCAGCCCCTAGTTACCAGCCTTGTTACAGGTTGGTGTTGTGAGTGTCAGGCTTTGTTGCCTGGCTGATCAATGCTCCAGGTACAAAGTGTACTTGTGTTACAGACAGGATGATTCTCACACCGTCGCACTTATAGAAGAGTCATGGTTGTAATCATTACATAAACAGATATATTTTGAGATACCGTTTCCCCAGATGCACATTTTCAGGATGAACAATGAAATTTAAATATGTTGCAAAAAAATTATCAACGTTAATTTCAAGTCAACTTCGTATCAAATTATATTGAAATAAGTGTTGCAGCAAAGGCAATGTTTTAAATATTTTCAGTTTAAATATTTTCATTATGCTACTAAACTTTAGTTTGGTACATCCAGAAAAGAATAATATACATTTATTTTTTCCCTTACATTTATTGATTTCTTTTCTTTCTATGTTCCTTTATGGATTGTAAATGGATATTTTGGCAGGCCAATCACAGAATAAATATGCAAAACGTGTTTGTATGATACTACAATACTGTATAAGTGTCCCCATCATGTTGCTACATGATATGATTGTTGCTGTCATTGAATCATTGTTGTTTCTTTGCATCTTTGATGCTGTTAATCGCAATTACTGTTGCTGTCAATGCATCTGTGTTGCTGGTCATTGCATCATTGTTGCTGATCATTTCATCATTGTTGCTGTCATTGCATCATTGTTGCTGTCATTGCATCATTGTTGTTGGTCATTGCATCATTGTTGCTGTCATTGCATCATTGCTGCTGATCATTGCATCATTGTTGCTGGTCATTGCATCATTGTTGCTGGTCATTGCATCATTGTTGCTGGTCATTGCATCATCGTTGCTGGTCATTGTATCTTTATTGCTGGTCATTGCATCATTGTTGCTGGGCATTGCATCATTGTTGCTGTCATTGCATCATTGTTGCTGGTCATTGCATCATTGTTGCTGTCATTGCATCATTGCTGCTGATCATTGCATCATTGTTGCTGGTCATTGCATCATTGTTGCTGATCATTGCATCTTTGTTGCTGGTCATTGCATCATTGTTGCTGTCATTGCATCATTGTTGTTGGTCATTGCATCATTGTTGCTGTCATTGCATCATTGCTGCTGATCATTGCATCATTGTTGCTGGTCATTGCATCATTGCTTGCTGGTCATTGCATCATTCTTGCTGGTCATTGCATCATTGTTGCTGTCATTGCATCATTGCTGCTGATCATTGCATCATTGCTGCTGATCATTGCATCATCGTTGCTGGTCATTGCATCATTGTTGCTGATCATTGCATCATTGTTGCTGGTCATTGCATCTTTGTTGCTGGTCATTGCATCATTGTTGTTGGTCATTGCATCATTGTTGCTGTCATTGCATCATTGCTGCTGATCATTGCATCATTGTTGCTGGTCATTGCATCATTGTTGCTGATCATTGCATCTTTGTTGCTGGTCATTGCATCATTGTTGCTGATCATTGCATCTTTGTTGCTGATCATCTGGTCATTGCATCATCATTTCTAATCAGTATCATCATTGCTGGTCATCACAAGTTGTTGGGCTGAGACAGAGGTTGTGAACATGTTTTATATCAGACCTTATTTTTCTAAAACTGTAAATATATATTCTATCCAGACATTTTATACTATTCCTGTACATAAGTTGACTATTTATGTTCATGTTTCGTGTGGGACAGCTGTTTGAATCCAGACAGTGCTTGATGTTACAGATGTACATTATAAGAACATACTCAGTTACTCATACAAAACTTAAATTACAATTTGTATTTTTCACTATGAACATAATTGTTCATGTAAAATATGCTATGTTAATTTCACACAATTGTCAAGTTATGATTGAATCATAATTGTTTAAGAAGGTAAGGTAAAATATTCACAAGCATTATTTGTGCTTATAATGTAAGTGGTATGAAGTTTGAGATTGACTTTTGATTTTGTTGTAATATGTATGAAATACTGATAAAGTAAGTGAATAAATATTACATGACATATATAGCTTGCATTTATTTTATTTGTAAGTCTGGCTGGCATCACATAAGGCAGCGCAGAAATTCGTGGGTGCAACTTGACCTTGCAGAGTTATGTCCCCCATTTGTGATTCCAGGATCTACTGAGTTTCAATGGAAAGTGGTTCAGTTCCCTCAATATACCCACAGACTGAACAATTTTATTTGTTTGCTGCTGGGTTGTTGGCCCTGAAGGATATAACAAGCGCTAGCCAGCACAGGGTAGTGTCTGGGGTATCAGTGTTAACACTGTGTCATGGTATCTCAGTGTATGAACCAGGATTAGAACTAGCAGTTCCACACATGTTCATGCCTGTGAAACAATCTTGAGCGCAACATTCAACCCCAGTTCATCGCACCTCAAAGGCTTTCTTACAATAACCTGCCATGACAATATTTAACTGAAAGGTTTACACATTGGTCATATCCAGCTACAACACATTTCATATCTTGTGTAAAATACTAGATTTATAAAGAAGATTTTATTATGTGTCTCTGCCTAAAACCCTCATGGCCATGTCCAACCATGCCGGTCAGCCAAAGGATGTATCATTTACAGAAGAACTAACTAGCTAAGAAGTCACCAGAGATTTATGCAAGTTCTACCTCTCAGCAAGATTCCAGCATTGGTTCAGAGTGAGAGTGAGTGTAGTTTCTTATGCCGCTTTTAGCAATATTCCAGCAATATCATGGCGGGGGACACCAGCAATGGGCTTCACACATTCTAGTCATGTGGGGAATGGAACCTGGGTCTTCGGCGTGATAAGCGAACGTACTAACCACAAGGCTACCCCACCGCCCTGCACTGATACAGAAGATAACAATAGAAAATTGGTTTGCAAGTATGTTTTTCTTTAAGTTAATTGAAGTCTCCTTTAGTAAGAATGAGTATAAAACTGTTTGTAATGAATCCGACATGGTGATTGTCCATCTCTGCTAATGGTATGTTGTTTTGTTTAGGTAAAGTACATATAACAAAGAAAAGAAATAATTTTTGTTTTATATGAAAGGTTGAATATATCTGTGTACAGTATTTAAAAAAATATAACTAAAAAGTAACTGGCAAATATGCAACAGAAGTAATTAAATTGGTCTGGCAAAAGTTTTAAAATTCCTCCTTTTGTTACCATGTCATATGAACAAGGCAATGAGCCGTGATGAACAGCAGTTTATCGTAATGGACTTCTCTCATGTCCTGGTGTCTATTGTTGACGGCTGTTCTAAACACAATAACAACAACAGCTTATCAAACACACACACGATCCTCTCAGCAGGAAGCTCGTACAACCGAAAACACCCATCAGCCATGCCCTACAGGTACCAGGAAAGGTGTTTGCAGTAAATCAGGCTACGCCACTTTATCCTGATTGCGGAAAACTTCTCCCCAAGAAACATGCATCATGAACAGTTTTGACTGTGACAGAGCAGGTGACATCTGACCTCACCAATGTCAATCTGTATTCAATCTGTAATCTCATGTTGTCTAATGCTGTACTACCTAGTCCCAAATTGTATGCCTCAAGCTATCTTAATCACAATTTATGAGCATTTCCTGTTTCCTTAAGAGAGGCGGTTCTTAAAAACATGCAAGCACCTGCTCTTACATGTTGAGAAGGGAAATAATTCAGCTTAATCATTTTGTTTGAACCAAAGCGTCCTATGCATTTACGGTATGGTGAGCTATCTGCAAGACTGACTGTATTTGTCATTAAGATAGTCAAGT